TTTTTCGTAGTGGCATCTGCCATAATAAATAGAGATATTTTCTGCGTAAACTTGTGTGTTTATTTATTTTTTTTTTGCCTCGGGGAATTATTCATAAAAATGGGTAGGCCCTATTTAAATTCATTTTCTTAAAAAAAGCAAATAATTGTTTTATCTTCGGCCTTCTCCCAGTCTTTCAACGGTAACCACTTTCCAAAGACCTTCTTCTATATTGATCGAATATTGTTAACTATATTCCTGATACAAACGTTTTTTTCCCCCCCCCCCCCCCCCTTGCCCCCCCCCCCCCCCACAAAAAAAAAAAAAATGTTGAAAATAGTTAAATGGAAATTATCTTTATTATCATTAAAAATGTTCCCCGCAGGAAACCATTTTACTTGTACATCTTGTTGACTTGTCAATAATTTTTACATTAAGCGTCACTGTGACCCTGATTTTTGACCCAATGACCTCTAAAATTATTAGATGTCATCTACTGATCAGGTACAATAAATTTTTTCGGGGTTATATAAACCAGGGGTTTAAACCCCTTCTAAATTTTTTAAATCAGAAAAAGGGTTTCCCTTTAACAGGTTTTCTCTGTCCATGGGCAATGCCCTCTTACAAAAAAAATTTGAACCAGGACTTATTCCCTTTTTATGTTAAACCCTATAAAAAAGGTCTACCAAAGGGCCCTAGTACGTACAAAACTGAACCCAAATTTGATCACCCAAAAATTTTCCCAACAAAGAGCTATGTCCAAAAATTTAATGTCTGATGGGCCTTTGAAGGTTTTCTTTCTAATATGGAAACCAAAAGACAAGTTCAAAAGTGAAAATCTTCAGTATTTTTTAAAGATTAAAGTTTCAATTTTAAAAAAATAAAATTGTTTAAGTTTAAAAAAAAACATAATATATTAGGGGTATTTTGATTGGTTAATTATTTTTGTGGCCACGGAAATTAGCTATCTCGTGGCCACGATTAGTAATCGTGGCCAGACCCTAGTATTTTCGTGGCCCCGAGTTTTGCATTCGGGGCCCCGACTTAAAAAACCCCGTTGGGCCCCGTATAGTATTCGTGGCCCAGTTTGCTATCCGTTTTCCCCCGACTTAGTTTAAAAATCGTGGCCCGACTTAAAATTCTCGTTCCCCCGACTTGTAATCGTGGCCACGGGCATTTGTATCTCGTGGCCCCGAGATAAAAAAAACACAAAGGGGATGTCCCCCTTTGTGCCAACCCTAAAAATACTATAAGGCCGAAGAATTTATATTTTTTTTCCTTTTTTTAAAAAACTCAAGAAAAAAAAAAAAAAAATTTTTGGGTTGGGGGTTTGATTTGTTTTTGTTTCAGAGTTTCTTTAATAGAAGCGTTTTTTTTAAGGGCTGTTCAAGTCTGTTTGCAAAAGAAACTGTCGTTAAGTCTACCGTTTGCAGAAACATTTAAAGAATAATGAATTTTGAAAAACGTTGATAAAATTGTTGTGTGTGTTTATTTCACTTTATATTATTTCAAGCTAAATACAGAGTTTTTATAGTGAAATGAATGGGAAATTTCACTGGTTTGCTACATTGAAATATCGTTCTTGTTTTGACTATTTTTTGCTCGCGCTGTTTAAACGTCTGTTGATCGTTAATGACTGAATTAAAGATATTGATGTTCGGATTTATTTTCTAACTTAGACCATTTTCTATCATTCTAGATAGTTTTCAGACAAAAAAAGTTGTTTTTTTTATTCATCAGATTTTTCAAACAATATGGCGCCGGTTTGAAAATTCAGAGGGAGGTAATAAGAACAGCGAGTGAAAAACGCTTCTGGTCTCAGAGAAATCTCCGATAGAATTGAAAACATTACACGCCAGTGTGGTGTAGATGACGGGATGCCGATCTGACGGTCTCTGGTTCGATTCCTGACCAACGCCACGTCATTGAAGATACAAATGTTTTGTTTTTAAATTACTTGCAAGAACTAATTTAAAATCGTTTTACTTCGTCTACTTTTAAGATACCTTTTAATACATTTTTAAACAATTATTTTTTTTTATTTCGTCTTGAATAAAAATCTTGAATAAAAATACGGCGCGTTTATTTTAATACAAATCGAATGAATCGACCGCAAAATTGTAGTCGTTTTCACGCAGCAGTGTCAGTCGTATTGCTCATACAGGCGGTTGAAAGAATGGCAATTTTAAAAGTGAAAATAAAAAAGAAATGAAAGTGGTTAAAAGTGGGAACCTACAATTTACGCCTATATTTCCTGGCTTGAAAGACATTTACAAACTGCGTTTTTTAGAGCGATTGTTAATTTAGATCATTTAACAACACTGGGATATATACAGTTTTTGTCCAATTGTAACGTTTTTCGGAATTTACGACTAGAAGGGTCAAAATGAAGAGTACCAGATCAATATTCTTGGATTATGCCCGCATTTTCTTCACATTTTTTAAACAGCTATAGCTACAGTTTATTTTACATCACCCCGTTCCCCCTTCGAGCACATCCGCTGTGTACACTTTCCAGCGTTTTAAAACATATAAACCCGGCTATGCGTTTATAGACAAGATACTATAAACTACCACAATGTCTAAGGACTTTCAAGGTTTAAAGAACAACCTTGACAAAAACACGGGTACATATCACAGTTAACCAAGCATAACTTTACCATAATTGTACTTTAAGTATACGGCAAATAAAGGACAACCTTGACCCGGTAACGTGATCATGCTTACCAGTCAACAGTTTATATTAAACACTCTATGTTCACTTGTTATATTAAGTCACGCGAATTTTGTCAATCTTTTGCATACATGTACCAGATAGATATGACATTCTTATAGTTGTGTATATGATATATAACTCAAGAACAGATTATAATATCACAGTGATTTTTTTAATTTATTTGCTATTTAACACAGATAGGTACATGCATAAATTTACAACTTGGTCCAGTAAGGATGCAAACAACGTTGCTTTGTTGAGTTTTACCTCCACCAACACAGTATAGGTCAAATTACTTGTTGGAGAAGATCTCAAGTGCACCTGAGTAGAACCACCGACGTCCCGTTAGTATACTGTATACTGTTAGCTGAATAGCTTCCTGAGATGAAAGAATCCAGTTAAAGTCCCCTGTCGTGATCCAAACCCACAGTTGACAGCTTACATACCTATGTAAACGATTTTTTTGAAAAAATAAACGAGCCGTTAGGCGCGGGTTTATATTTCAAACAACCGTTTTCAATACGGCCACAACACTGTAAAAAAAAATGGTAACGCCTGACGTGTTTTCCACAGGTGTTTTTTGACAAAACGTATGTGTTCTCTTTGTGTGCAGTATAAAAACACATGCGTTTCTTTATGGAGCGGGTGTTTATAACTAAAACAGTAATGTGCAGTGTTTAAACGGTTGGTATTTCGTCGCTTGAAAAACGTTTTGTTCTAAGTGCCAATTTGTTGTTTTTGAGAAAAAAGCATCTAAAGATTTAGTATTGAATAATTTTTTTATTTATTGTCGGATTTTGAAAATTTAAAAACTACTAAACGTGATGTCGAGAGAACATCTCAATATCGTTAAAGATATGTGGATTTTAATATTTCCTTGCTTAAAAACCTAAAAAACATTTGGAGATAGAACAGTCCTTGTAACTTTTTTTTCAAAAATTGTTAAAATCAGAGTGTTCAATGTGACTTAGAACATTATGTCTTTTAAGTTGAATTGATTTTTATCATATAAAACAGTATGTTTTATCTTTAAAAGGCTGCAAAAAATCCTCTCGGCTAATTATCCCTTGATTAGTTGACGTTGACACTACACTATTTCTTAGACCATATGTATCTAACTACATGAACTATGACATTCGAAATCTTATTAAAATCCTTGTATTCTTACATAATTAAATGACATTTAAGCAAATAATTTAAATAAATAAGAATAAAATACCCACATAAATTTTGTAGACATTTTATCTATTTTTTATAACTTTGGCCACATTCAAAGTGGATTCAATGTCTGGAAAAAAGAAAGTTATAGTCGCAATCGGGAAAAGAAAACTTTCAAATTTCTAGAATGCTGGAAAAATCTTTCAAGATTTTTTTTAATGAAAATTCAAAAGATGGTCAAATTCAAATTCCTTCCAACAGTATGAAATAGTAGTAATTATTTTGTTATGCGCTTTACACGTTCTGTTTGTGTTGGTAAGAAGTTCTTATAATTGAAGGTATGTAAAAATGTTTCTATAACTTAAATAGGCAATGAAAACATATATGCTAGAAAAGACCTTAAAGGTGGAGCAGGCATGACTTATATTTGAAAATGTCATATTTAAAGATTGTTCGTGTACAAAAACATTACAAACATAATGCTATATAAATATTCATTTAGAAAATTCAAAGTCAAATTACAACAAGACAAACAAAAAAATACGTATAAGATATTTTTCTTCCTTCTGTCTTTGGTATAAAATGTGTTTACTTTAAATCAATCTATTAGTTATATAACATTAACGCATTCGAAAACATATATTATATGTAACGTATAATATCTATAAATTTTCTTAAGGCTTTTTTTGCCCCAGAAATGCTTTTATCTTTATCTCTCAAAAGCCTGATATTTGGAGTCCAAAATATTCCACATTGGTCAGTAAACCTAAACCATCTTATGCTTTTGTTTCATATTGGCAATGAGTACATTCAATTTTTTAAACTCATATGTGTCTGTTATAAAGATAAATAATTGGTTTCTGAGACAGAATGTACCTTACGTTAAAGAAACTTAGAACATATAACAAATTTTCTTTTTTACGAATATGTTTGATGAAATTGTATGATCACAGTTGTTTCTATCCGAAAATACACATCCGAAATTACTTCCAAATCATGATCACTTGCTTTTTTGTTTTAATCACATGCAGTAAATTTACAGGACTTAATACTAAAAATGTCAATGATTGGAGGGAATAATGAATACATAATATCATTCAATACTTATATTTAGTATTAATATATGAAATAAACAACAAACATCTAACTCAAAATGTTTCGTACAACATGGCGGGTGTCCTGCTATCACGTGATTTGATGCTATGTTTTGATACGATAATTTTGGATTTAGAACAGTATGTTGCATATATCCCACCGGTCACGTGACATTTATCGATGATATGATTAGTCCAGTAAGTTAGAACAGTCTATTTATCAAGACATACTAAATTTGTGGATATAGAACAGGATGGTTTCGTTGTAATTTATTTATGAAGCTCTGAAGCACTAATATAACATGCCAAGGAGATAGAACAGTCCATTACGGACACAATTGTGTATTTAACTTGTTTTTGGAAAATTTGGAGATAGAACATTACAGTTTTCAAGCGACGATTTATATTGGCATGCCTGTGTGCAAACATGAAACGTTTGTGTTTACTTTTATGTCATAAGCTCATCTCGTGTTTTGATTATTAATAACAAATAAAACAGAAACATAACAGTTAACAGAAACATAACAGTAAGGATAAGACAATACGAATGTTTAGAAATATTTATTAATGCGAAAGTGTCTCTGTCTTAAACGCCGGTGTTTCAGGGGGGAACATTCTGCGTATGTCATGAGTGCCGATCAAGAACACCCTCTGATATTATCCGAGGTGTTACGAATTTAACTTCCTTTCTCCTGCTGCAGCCGAATTTTTTGGCGCAAATTTTACCTATTTTCATTTTTGTGTAAATTTAGCAAGGAAAACATAGAAAAGCAGCAGCAAAAGGTTAGTACGATGTATTTATGTATTTGTAGATCAAATTCAAAGGTTGAAAAGGCAAATAAAACGCAAAAAAGCATTTTCATCAACCATAAAACTGATTTCTCCACCCACTTTGGTATTTCAAGAATATAGTAAAAAAATATTCAGAATAACATGCTACTGTCTTTTGATATCAATTTTATCAGGCGAGGCAGATATGGGCTAGAAAGGGCGAGGCTTGTCGAGCAAAATAATCAGGCAAAATATTAAAGATAACAAAGAAAATCGTCTAGCCTGTTTGTTATGATTACATGTATCATAGTATGACGTGAACATTGATGATGTCATTTGCAATATAAATTATGACGTCACTTCATTTAGTTGGAGAAAGTGGATCTAAATTAGCTTTTGTAACATATTGGATTATTGCTCTAAAATCAAAATGTTTAGGCAGTTACGGCCTTAATTAATTAAGAAATATAGACATTCTCTGTACCATTCATGCAAGAGAATATTATATCAGTGATATTTAAGATATTCTAAACAGCAGATTATGCTGTATGGAGGGCGTTCGTTGCCAAAATTCCAGACATGTAAAGTGTTCCTTTTTAAAATGACTTTTGAAAATGCGAACTTGTATGCCTAACATTTTTATTGTAAACCTCTTAATTCAATCTTTTATTTGAAGGTTACCGCCTTTATATAACAAGTTTACATATATATCGTAACAACTGACCTAACATCTAAAACGACAACAAATTTACAAGTTCGTATCTTCCATTGCATGCAATACATATGCATGTTTGCACACTTATAGATCTGAAATATACAAATGAAACGTAAAACTCGAATACGTAAAATAGAGTTTAAGAAAACGTGTTACCAGTTGTAGAACTACAAGAGTACGTTAACACAGTAACATGTTTTAAAATGACAAAAGTAGATTCACAAAGTTAAAACGATTTTAAGTCAACATAACGCCCCGCCCCTCTCGGAGTATTTACGAACTTCTATTGCGGACAGGTATAAAACGGCGCCTCTCCCATATTTTTAAATAAAACTGAAGGACAACATACGGCATTTTTCATAAAATGTATATGTTACATTTGTTACAAAAGTTTTGTCAGTAGCAACATCACTTGAAAATTGCTGATTTTACCATTTATGATGAAGATAACTTATGCATTACCTTATTTTTAACATCGTGTTTTTATCAGTTACAAATTATTTATCATTTTAGTGATTAGCCTGTCCGTGCTCTGCCTAGTGCCCTGTCCTGTGTTTTGTTTTGGGTCTGCCTTGGCTTCTTGCCACTTGTTCTTGTTGCTGGATCATGTGGGGTTGTGTTCATTGAGCGCCGCCTTTCCTTGTTGATCTTGTTTATCATATATTCCTGAGAAACATCGGCGATTGGGAAATTTTTAGGGGAAACAATGACCAACTTCAAGGGAGTAATTTTATTAATAATGTAAAAAACCACCCAATATTCTTATTGGTATCATTGAAAAATGTATTGGCACAAATTTCATTTTCAACAAAAACTATGCAAGTATATATTTTAAAGCGGTCACCGAGATTTCCTTTCCGAAATCAAGAAAATACTTATCCGTAGCACATATGTACAATCTTTAATAAGGTATTTTCAGTATTAATAAAAACTTTTTGCACTTGTTCATTATCCCTCATGTACAGACTCAATCAAACCGAGTCTGCAATTCTTATGTAATTTTGTAGTGATTAATGCTTCCGAGGGATCACTTTGTTTCCAGATTTTTATACTTCACAACAGCAGGTTTCAAGTGCCGTGAGGCAGCTGTAAAAAGTTGCCCCGTACTTCACTTCAGTGTTGTTATATTTTTCTGGTCTTTCGGGATCATTGATGCCAGCGCTATTAAGTGTTGAGAATTGAGTACCGCTCAATCCGGTGCTAGGGGGCGTGAGGGATGTTGCACTTATTCATTATCTCTCATGTACAGACTCAATCAAACCGAGTCTGCAATTTTTATGTAATTTTGTTGTGATTAATGCTTCCGAGGGATCACTTTGTTTCCAGAATTTTTTTACTTGAGTCTAAAATTATCAACGCCGCCTTTCCTTGATGATCTTGTTTATCATATTCTAAAATTATCAAAATTGACCAAGAAATAAAAAAAGTAAGTGGGGGCGCCATGTTTCTCTTACTGAATTTCAGAGTGTGTTTTGTTTTTTTTTTACTTGGGGATCATATGCCGTTTTTCATGGTATGGCACTTACGTGTCACATTGAAGGTTCCATGATAATCACCATATTAACACATCTGCGGATGTTTCAAAATTCAAAATTGTACCAGTTCATGTTGAATTTTGCTTAAGCCGGTGCTAGGGGGCGTGGACGATAACTTGCTCTTTCCATTACCGTCCATGAGCAGGCTCAATCAAATCGGCCTGCAACATTCTCAATTTTGTCGTTTTGAGCGTTCTTTATGGGTTCTTATTTTCTCTATTTTACAGAAAATAACATGATAAACTTTTTAACGAAAAGTTAATTCATTTTGATTTAATTCCTTTTTATTTTGAGGCATTATATAATTATATATCATAAATCGTATTAATCACACTTTTATTTCAATCCAAAATTATCAAAATATATTGCGAAATAAAAAAAAAGGTTTGGAGGGAACGCCGTGTTTTTCTTACCAATTCGAGAGTGTTATTTTCAGACTAAAAAAAAACAACAAAAAAATCAATACATCTATTTAATTCATTTTTATTTCCGAGGCACTCATAGAAAGCTTATGGAGTAATCTTTCATTTGATACAAATTATATTGGACTTTTTATAGAAATAAAAAAAATTAGAATGGACGCCGTGTTTTCCTTCACTTTATTGAGAAATAGGAGAGAGGCGACGGGTATTATACCTGTCCGTACATTTCCGTGATAGAAGATCGTAAGTACTCAGAGAGGGGCGGGCGTCATGCATGACTTAAAATCGTTTAACTTTGTGAATCTACTTTTGTCATTTTTAAACATGTAACTGTGTAAATGTACTGTTGTAGTTCTACGACTGGAAACACGTTTTATTAAATTATATTTTCTGCATTCGAGTTTTACATTTCATTTGTGTTTTTCAGGTACATATATATATCTACAAGTGTGTAAACATGCTTATGTATTATATGCAATGGTAGATACGAACTTGTAAATGTGTGTTAGGTCAGTTGTTAAGATTTACATGTAACTTGTTAATAGATTGGATTAAGAGGCATATCATTTGCTGTGCACGAATGCAATCAAAAATGCTAGACATACATGTTCGCATTTTCAAAAGTAGTTTTCAAAAGGAACACATTACATGTCTAGAATTTTGGCAACGATCGCCCTCCATAATGCTGTGCATAATGTCAGACGTTTTCTAACTACATAATAACATATTTATACATGTAGATCTCATGAAGGAACTTGTTTATTTTAAGATGTTTAACACATTGTGACATATAATGGGAATCAAACAACATTTAATTCAATGCCTTGGTCACCAAGACCAGCACAAAATTATGATTCCAAAATTATATTGCAGTCTATGCGAAAGTCAATTTTTTTTTCAGGCCACAAGGACCGAGACCCTTAGGCTTATTTCCGGCCCGGATGATATTTTTCCGGCCCAGACATTTCAAGCATAATTTTATAATAACTCGATTGAAAGTAAAAATGATTGTCTTTCTTTAAATTAGTGAGACCATCAATATAGAAACATAAGAAGATGCTGACCAATTGAAATAACTTAAGCAGGGTTCTCACTAGGATTTTCAAAGTAGGAGTCCTTGGACTCCCAAGCACAGAAAAGTAGGAGCACAGAGCACATTGAATATGTTAAGCCATCTTTGCTGCACTTATGCAGTTGACAAATATGATGTATATTAGCAGAGTAAGCTAGGGATTGGAGAGTCGGAGTTTGAACTTTGAATAGAGAAAAAGCTTATTCAGGAAAATGGTAGTAAACTATGTCCCAAATGGAAGACACTGTACTATAAAAGTGATTGAAAAGATTTGAAATATAGTTTCAAAAACCCTACATCATCAGACCATTATGCTGTTTCCTTCCAGATTCACTCCACACACCCCACTCCCATAAGAAAATATTCATTGTATGTGACAAACACATACTTATAACACCTCAATCTCAACTAATGTGAACAATATCTTTAGTAATTTTAATTCTTAAATTACATTTAAGTGTTATTACACACATTTTAACAAAATAAATTTTCCTTTTGGTTACAATTTTTTTAATTATAAAAAGCGGCATCGGGAAAATATGTGACAATTGAAATTTGTCTGTTTCCTGCAAAAACATTCACAATTCTACTTGTTGTTGATTTTGATTATATTAGATTAAATATTTTTTGATTATTATAAGATTGTTACTCATCGGCTATTTCAACAGGCATCATAAAACAAAATTTTCAAATCTGTAATTTACGGCAAAATTTACCGTTGTTGATAGACAGAGTTGACTGGTTTTTATTTGACATGTACAAAATAGATCTAAGGTTGGTCAATATCTTCTTTAAGAAATTCTTTGCATCACTGGGAACTTGTTATCAATCAGGTCATTGATATTTTTTACTTTTTGAAATTTTATTCGGACATGAGGACTGACGGAAAGAAATTTTTCTCGGACCGCACGAGTTTTATTCAGTCAGGACCGAGGACCGACGGACTTTCGCACAGACTGATATTGATTCCCTAATTGATAATTATTTTGTTCATACTTAGAAAGCTTAATCAAATAATCTTTCCTAATAATTATCTAAAATAACCTTTAAAATGCAACAAAAGCCACCATTTTGCAAACTAATTTATTAAAACACTACATAGTTTAATTCTGGAGAACACTGTCATCTGAAGTTTTGCACCTTTCTGTTAGTCTGCTCATAATTTGGCTTTCAGGATGACTCTAAAGTGGCAGTGCTGAAGGCTTTAGAATCAGAAACAGCTTACAGAAAAGGAAAGGACCAGAAGACTAAGCCTTTGATGCAAATAATTAAGGTAAGGGTGTTAGATATTCAAATCTTTTAATGTCCTAAAACTTCTTTTTTATGTGACCAGCTGTGATTCAGTGATTGACATGTCTGTACATCTGTGTGTACATATTTTACATCAAAACTTTGTAGGGAGTATACCTTAACATCTTATTACTATAATTATCAGCATGTCATATTTGGCATGCACACTTGTTTGATAAATAATTAATGTGAGTTTTATTTCAAAACAGATTTATGTAGGTAAACTATTCTAAAGCCTCGGTCTCACTTACTCCCGGCAGAGCCCAGGACCATCCCGGTAAGTTACCGGGATGATCATCCCGGTAAGTTACCGGGATGATCCGGGACGATCCGGGATGAAATTATTGTTGCGGTCACACTTACCCCGGCAGCACTACAGTAGTTCCCTACTAACCACCCAGGATGCGCTCCGGATCATCCAGGCAGAGCCCAGGTGAAGCTACGGTTCATGCCGGTGCTTCCCCGGTCGTTCCCGGATGACGCCGGAAGAGCCCCGGTTGACCCAGGCAGAGCCCCGGTCGATCCAGGCAGAGCCCCGGCAGAGCCCAGGACGATCCAGGCAGAGCCCCGGTAGAACCCCGGTGGATTGAAAACGCCCGAAAATGATAACTTTGATACATAATTTTTATTTAATATAATATCTATTGTTCCAGAATAGTAATTCATGATGATTTCCTGAAAAATCCTTATGCCATACTGGATAGAAGGGAAATGGGAAGGCTTTTAATACAAACAAGTTCAATCATCACAAATGGTCCTTATTCTTATGAAATGATCCGGGCTTTGCCGGGGCTCTACCGGGATCAACCGTAGCTCTACCTTTATCCTCCGGGGCTCTGCCTGTAGTTACCGGGGCTCTGCCGGCATATACCGGGGCTCTACCGTAGCTCTACCGGCTATATCATACCCCGGATCATCCCCGGTTTGTGCCGGCAGAGCTACGGTGCTTTCCCGGTATAACCCCGGTCGTTCCCGGCAGAGCTAAGGATGATGCCGGCAAAGCTATACCTTCCTGGATCATCCCGGACCACCCCGGTGATATTAAATATTTTATTCCATCCGGGGTCGAATGCCGGATGTTCCCGGATCATCCCGGATCATCCAGGACGTTGCCGGCAGAGTTACAGATGTACCCCGGTTGTTCCCGGTCGTACCCCGGTCGTTCCCGGATCACCCCGGACGTCTACCGGGGCTCTGCCGGGATGTAAGTGAGACTGTAGCTTAACAAAGAATAAATAATTTCCATGGTAGTTGTCACTTGATGATAATGCTAAAGATGCTTTTAACATTGAATGATATCTAAGGTTTATACAAATGCTAACAGTTTTTTTTTTAAACTGATGTATAAAAATTATCAATATTTGTTTCAGCTTGAAGATGATAGGAATTTTGGGAGACTTCTTTCTTCTGCACCAGAGTCGGCACCAAAGTTGGTTGCAATTGAGAAAGATGAACGAATTGTGAACATGGCTATTGTTTGTGAGGGTACACACATTCTTCTAGAGACAGCCGATTCAAAAGAGGCCATATTAATTGGTTTGAATTACCTTGCAGACCTAGATTATCCAAAGGCATATTCACAGGTTGGTTAAAACAAATTTTCAACACATTTTAATTATTATAACTCACTTCTGTTTTTAATGCTAAATTTCTATTGATCAATTATGTAATCTTGTAATGGTAAGTCACAAAATTTTGGTTGATGCACATGCTCATTGAAAAATGGAGTCACTTGCATCACATTATAAAATGACATTTTGCACTGTTCACACCACTGGTGAAGAGTGCTTCAAACTTTCTTCATAAAATTGCATTGACTTGTCCATGTGTATGTGATTCGTCTATCAGACTTTTATGCTTGTTTTTGTTGATGTCAGTTTCAGTACACCAAGATCTCTTTTGCGAGTTACTTTATTTAAAGAATGAATCGAATTGATCTATCTAAAAAAAAAAAATATCCACACTAACATTGTCCTTTCAGAAAAAGAATGCTACCGCGTGTTTTCCAGTTTTATGTGATTTTGTGTTCTTAATCACAATTTCAAAAACTTTTTCCCCAAAATTTGAATAATTACCATGTTTGATGAATAGGGATTTCTGCAACTGCTTAACTTCTTATTCTCATGTGCTACTATGAATGAAATATGTATGTATACACAGGTGTGTTGGTTCCTTCAGCAAACTGAACTTCAGCAGCAGTTTGATGGGCATAAGAGCTATGGATTTGTTCAATATTTAAAGACAGTGAACACGGAAATGGAGAGGAAAGAAAAGAAGCCAATGTGACTTAAGTGATCCAGCTTTCATAAAAGGAAAAGTTGAACTTTACTTTAATTTGGATAATTATCAGTTTACACTTTACTCAGAAGTATGTTTTACTATTCAGCACTGAGATAAGTCAAGCACGCTGTCTTACATACAGCTCTTGTTGGACTTGGGTTAATATTATAGCTCTTTGGTTAATATAGCAATGTTGGAAATTTGTGTGCAATTTCAAGTACTTTCATAGTTTATTGTAGGAATGGCAACAAATACTGATTTTGGTATTCGAATATTGGTATAGAGCATTCAAATGTAATCCAATATTTGAATATTGGTATAAAAATTTTATGCATCCAAATTTGTATTATGTCCATTACCAATGCACTATGATCAATAAGTTTTCCTGTTGAATTGAGAATTTTTATTCTCTTTTTTTGAGAGTCGTTGATGATGCCTTAATATGTAACTATTCACAATCTTCATCATGAGTATTTTTTAAGAACTGATTTCATAAATTAGATGTGATATTTGCCAGCTGAAGGCATTATTGAAGGGTGAACATCATATTTAATGACTAGTAAATCCATAATTGTTTTATCCTAAGTTTTGTTACAAAGATAAATTGTTTCATTAACTGTAGTTTTTTTGGTTTGCAAGTAAATCAAAAGTTACTAAGTACATACTTTTTTATTATATTTATTTATTTTATGTTTATCACAGGCTGTACTTAATGCTGATCATGAATTATTAATATATTGCTTCTGATCAACTATGTTAATTACAGAGGATGACTGTTGCACAATCCATTTATATAAATAGCACAAGATTTCATAAAAAAACACACATATTTTATAAAAAGCGAATGATTTTAACCAATAGAAATCTGGCTATTTTAGTACAAATTAATAATTTCATATTTCTTGCAACAGATGTTTGATGATGTCATAATTTTTAGCTTGATTATTTAAAAAATGGTAAGGCAATAGCTTAGCAGCTGATCCTAGCATTAGTGTTGCATGACACAATGTTAAGTTTTTTAGACAAAGAAAGACAACCACTTCTGATATTTATTTGGAACTTCACCACACATTTTTTGTATGTAAATATAAGTTCACATAAAAAGACCAATAACTCTGTTCTGCATTTTGACTAAATGATGTTCCTTTTAGAAAATTCTGCATATGTAAAATTATGTATTTTTTGTGTGAAAGATGTATCTCCAGTCATAGAATTTTAGCCGAAACTTTGTACATGTGTTAGATACGAAAATATTATTTACCAATACCCATTCAAGGTAATGCATTTGATTGAAATATGCCTCATTTCGGAGTAAATGCATTGAGAATAGTGCTGGCATGTTGTCGCTCTAACAGCTCATTTCATGCTTGTGTTTAGCAAAGTTGTATTCTTGAATTATGTTAGATTAAAAATGAAATAAACTGTATAATGTTATAATAAATAAATTCCAAAAATACTTCCATTAGCATTTTTTGTAGTTACAATAGGCTGTACATGTATTTCCTTAGTTGTTTTGATCTTACCTGAACATATACAGTAAACACGTAATGCATTTGAAATTGAAATATGTGACATGTTTATCAGGAACGCTTTGAAAGCAGCACACGTGGGTTCTGAAACATGTTGCAAGTTCCAGTTTGAAACACCAAACGTGTTTACTGTACATGTTCAGGTGTTCCCAAACTGTAACATTATAAGTGTTCTGCTATGAAACATGTCACATGTTTCAGTTTGAAACACCAGGAAGCGTGTAAAACAGGAACACTTGTGCGTTTATTCGTGAACATGTGACGTGTTCCATTCTATAGTGTTTCCAAAGTGTAACAGGAAAAGTGTTTCGAAATGTGTTTAAAACTTAAACGCCCGTTTTTACAGTGTAAGTAACCTGTTAAAAATATTTAAATCCAATTTATAATGCAGCAAGCAAATTCTTTTTAGAGAAAATAAGTGATTTCTTCATAAATTGACAGCAGCCGTGAATAATAAAACTATATAAAATGTCAGGATTATCCAATGAAAAGCGACGTTACAAATGTACAGTATTATATATGTATATAAAGATCTACACTGATATTAAGCCACATATATACAATAACATCACCAAAGCAACCATTGTTGGTCATATATGCCTAAACTTTACATTTTGAATTCAAAATGCACGTGTTCGCATAAGTAAGCGTAATAACTTGATAATAATTCAACAGAAATATACATAGATATAAACGTACAAAAGCATCTATAATTAATATATTAAATATGTAAATATAAAGAATCAAATGAAATTACATAAATATCTTAAATGTATTAAGTTAAATACATTATGAATTACTATAACAACCAGCAGTTTTGTTTACCATATTTTCAATTTTAACGAAGATTACAGGCAAACCTGTTGTCTATAAGGACAAGTCTGGGACAATGAACAAAAGCGCAAGAAATCTATATTGACAAATAATCTAGTTTCTTATTGCGTTCGATGTTGTTCATCAATTAGGAAGCAAAATTAAATGGATCAGGCGCATACTGTCAGTTCATTCTATGAAGGCTTTTATTTTAAAAACTACAATCAAAAGACGGTTATAAGTATTCTTTAAATTAACAACAAATGATTGACATAATTCTGTGTGAAAACTTTTTTCCTTTGATGTCAAATATATGTAATTGTTTCACGAAAAATCGCAAAAAAATGTAACTTTCTGTAACGAATGACAATTCACTTGACCAGGAGCATATCAAAGTACATGTTTTATTTTTCACTTGTTAGATACGGAAAATGACGAAGTGATCCGAAGTTAGCAGAAGGTTTCTTGACTTATCCACTTTAAACACTTGACATCAGTAGTTTGTATAGTACTGCAATAACCACTACAAACACAACAGCGGTAACAAACCAAGCCGGTGTTATATTTAACTGCATGTCTTGTAAGAAGAACTGCTTGATCTGGTTCGATAATCTAAACATGTACAGTTCAAAAGTCTTCATTGTACCGACGACGGGTTCAGTCGTGTCTGTCTTCGGGGTTCCAGGTTGAACCATTCGCCTAAGGAACTTGAGAGCAATATTCTCTATGTATTTATTTCTGCCTTGAATCTTGTCAGTATAACTTGCCCAACGAATGCGGTTAGCTTCCAATGCTCCTACAATATTAAACTCGGGAGCCAGTTCGTTTTCCTCCTTGACGAATTCTTCAAGTGTCATACTTTCTTCGTCACTTCCGGTTGAGATATGAACAGACGGGTCACGAACCAAGTCGAACTTTGATATCAGTAGAAACAGTTCTGCGGTATCTGAAGTAGATCATATTTCATGCGATTATTTGAATGCTTGTTTGAAGTAGAAATATAATATTGTTTACACGTATATCTATATTATAAGGATATAAGCATGGTTGTGGTTAACTTTTGAACAATAACAACAACAAAATTAAAAACAAAGAAACAGCAAGTTTTTGAATATGAATATAATTATATAAGATGGTAAGGTATATAATATAAAGTAGAACATTCACAACAAATTGATTATGAACACAGACTTTATACCCCTTTAAAACATCCGCTAATATCATTAGTGTAAGATTTCAAGTTAACCCTTCTGTAGTTTGTATTTTGGAAATAACACTCTTGTCATTAAAATACCAAGGAACTGTTCTTAATATGGTTTAATGTGAAATGTACTTATAAATGACATTAAGTGAGAGTAAAAATAGTATCAATTAACTCACATTTTCTTTTCAAATATGTAGGGTCTGTTATTTTGAGGACTTGGTTCAAACAATTTATCAAGTTTCTTGGTATGGCAGTTCTACAGCTTTGTATAAATACAACCTTTGTCACCGTGTCAGCAGGGTTCGACTTTGGATATAGTTTCGACAGACATCCCACACCGAATTCTTTCTGTTTGGACTGCAACGCTTCAATGTTTGTACCTTTTGGTATAAAACCTATAAAAAAGTCGTGAAAAACAAATCGGTAAAATCCTAATTACAGAACTTGTATAATGTGTAAGGACCTACTTTTAGTACTGTGATTTGTTTCGAGAACAATTGATGGTATACTGAATAGATACACCCAGAATTTTCGTTATGAGATCATCAGGAGTGTCACAGGTACAGAATAGATTCAAGTACAATAGATGCGTAATAAGTAAGGTAGTTGTGCAAGAAGTACATGTACATGAAATGTGCCGTCGATACAGTAAAAACGCCTAAGGTACATGATAATCGCCTAGAAAACAGTAAATATGCCTATAGGACAGTAGGGATGCACTGAGAACAGTATATGCGCCCTGATTACATTACATGCCTTGGATATTTGTATCTAATAAAACAAACATTTTCTTTAGTCGTTTCATGGGAACAAAGAAATTGTTAAAAAACAAAGATAAGAGATCTTTGTAAGGTGTAATACAACACATTATTTATATAAATAAATGTATATGTACCTCCTACAAGACGTTCTAATATTTCACGTAACTCTGGCGAGTCTTCATCTCCCAGGCCAGCACAATCAACTATATGTGGCAGTTTGTGTACAACTTCAGCAATCTTTTCTCTCCGTGAATCATCTCGGATAGTCTTCAGGTCAACACCACAGTTGTCATATCTATATAAATTTTCAATTTAAAACTTTAAATGACATTTTAATAATTGGGATTCATTTAATATAATGTTTACCGCAAATGTTTTACCTCACCCATGAGAGGGGTTCGAACCCACAGCGGTAAGGGTCAAGTTGTTTGACCTCAACGACAATTACTACTCAGCCCCGGTCGCCGCCTTTTTGTCTTCTTAAATATTAAGTCATTTAATGAAAATCAAACTTAAATATATCTTCTTTAGATATAAAAATCTTAAAACCAATTATTTTTAAATACAATAGGTATTTTTACACAAACCTTCCAAGGTCAAGAGTAACAGATTGCGCATGGCCGCTTCCTTGTTTTGTCAGGGTGTAATTTTCTCCAGTTAACACCCTGTGGATGGTATTGAGCATCGCACTTTTACCAGCCCCGCTCTGCCCAATCAGCATTATCACCTCGGCATCTCGGCCCATATCCAACAGCTCAACAATCTCGTCCAACAATGACGCATTTTCTAGGTCGAGTGAATCTGACAGAAATAAATTCATGTAGATATTACTTGCATCAAACGTATGACTTTGTATTTGGCGTCTGTAAGTCGTTCTCTATGATAACGGTTATTTTATACGTTCAGTTTCGAGTGCAGCGATCTGATTGGTTAAAAGCACGTTTTTTTCATATTAGGGCGATCGTTTAGGTAATGTATAAAGGAAGCTTGATTGATAAGTACTGACATCAATCTCATCACACTTAATTGCTTCTATGACATTATATTACTTAATTTACATCCCAACGGACACCCTGTCTTGTTTACTTTAAATAGCAGTAACAGCCCCCCCCCCCCACCCACCCACCTTTCTCATACCCCCCCCCCCTTTCTCATATGTCTATAAAGAATACGTCCGTTGACTTGTACATGTACATCATTGTGAGAATATTTATATTGTTACAGTAAAACAAGCCTGTGTAAATCAGTAATTAATACACATACAGGTTGAATTTGTGTTCCTTTCATTATCTGTTTACATCAATAAATTATATTGACATAAAGGGGTGTCGATAAATTCTTTTGTAAAAGCATACTAGTTAGTATTTATCGCCTAAATTTTTTTCCACCTAATTTTTCACTCATTTTTTTTTGCGTTTTAGCATCGTCGTGTTCGATCTGTGAGTGTAGAGAACCTAGTTCAAATCCTGGAAAAGAAATTTTGTATTATTTTGTATTATTTTTATTATTATTATTATCATTAGATTATTATTATTATTTGTTTTTAAGGTTTTTGTTCCACTTGAAAATTGATAATACTACTCAATCTGTTAAATGACAATTGAATATCAAAACCTTTGTCATAAGTTTAAATAAGTGAGTTTAACTTTAAGTTGTGCAAAGCGTTATGAAAGAGGAAATGTAAGTTACATGACGCACTATTCATTGATATACTCTGAAAGGAAAAATCATGCTTAAAAATGTGCACAATTGTAGATTTGAACTCGGACACCCTATATATTCATCTTATCTCACCACTACGCTACTAGGATTATCGTGTCTATATCTATCATGTCTACCTTTATTCTTTTATAATGTAATAAAATGCAAAATGTAATAATTAAAGTACTTTCAAGAACGACCCCTTTGGAAATAAGCTTTTAGCTTAATGGGCAATCCTAGGGTTACATAGAACATACTCTTTAATTAATCTTATAATTATTTTTGTTGCATTTATGTGTGTGTTTTTATATATATATGCAAGTTGATATATGTGATAACATTGTATGTGTATACACGCCCGTTTAACTCACAACGAGTGAAAAATGTCCATCGGTAAAAATGTTGTGAGCAACTTCCGTTCCTCGTTGTGAGCACCCATCTTTGACGTGTGACACGATAAACAAGGTGACTTTTTCATAATTTTTGAAGATTGCAGACATTTATGTAAAAATATCGGAATGCAGTTAGCTAGCGATGTGTTTTCCGAGTATGCACATGTAAAGATATTGTCTGTTGGTGGACAATTTGATGGAAATACCGTGCGACGCAGTCACTCGGGGTAGCTGGAAAACTGGAGACAACTTCTCTTTGGACCTAATTTAACATTGAAAACGTCGATTCTGGTGAGGTATTGTGCATTCTTACCTAAAACAGATGCCCACAAGTCATCAGCGTAAATTATTATCTGAAAGTCTTCATAGAAACCAAGATATACCCTTTTTGCTTTAATCCTCGTTGTGAGCACCATAACCTCGTTGTGAGCAAGACAAGCGCAGTGCGTGTATGGTTTTAATATGTTATTCAGATGGTGAAAATATAATTTTCAATATACCACAGCAATTAAAACGTTTTTGCACAGCAGCATTTCTTTGCACTTGACGTGTGCATACCCCAAAGGGAGGCATATTAGTTTTGAACTGTTCGTCTGTCAGTCCGAGCAAATATATGATATTTATGAGCTTCATTCCGTAGTAAAATAAAGAACAAAAACTCATAAAATTCAAATTAAGAGCTATTTTTTGAGCTAATTTTGCTAATGGACGTTGGTCCAGGTGGTGTTTATGAGCTGATTTGCCTCATAAATATCAAAAGTTAGTACGTCCGTCAATCTGTCCGAAAACTTTTACATTGGCCTTAACTTCCTTATTAGAAAACGGATTTGATTCATATTTGAACACAACATCCCTTAGCACCTTCCTACGGACCTGTATTTGTTTACCTTGACCCCTGAATGGCCTTTACCTTGAAGGTCAAATTGTCCAAAAACATTTAAGATTGGCCATAATGTCCTGGCATAATGTTTAGGCACAACACATCTTTGGACAAGGCCTTTTAACTATCCTATTTTATTTGAACTTGACCCCTGAATGACCTTCACCTTGAAGGTCAAATTGTCCAAATACTTAAAAATTGGTAAAAACTTCCTTATTAGTAAACGGATTCTACTCATATTTTGAAACAACACCCCTTTAGGCAAGATCTTCAAACTGATCTGTATTTTTTAATCTTGTACCGTGAATGACCTTCTAGAACATCCAAAAACTTTAAGATTGGTCATCACTTCTTTATAAGTAAGTTGATTTAATTCATATTTGGACACACTGCCCCTTTGGACAAGACCTTCCAACTGACCTATATGTATTTCACCTTGACATTGAATTACCTTCACATTGAAGATCTAATTGTCCCAAAACAAATAATCTATCTGGTCTATAAATCAAAGGACAAAGCACCACTTCAGGGGCATTGTCAACTTACCGTGATAGTTCTTGTTTTACATAACTTGGTCAGTCTTCAGCTCAGGATAAACACATGTATGTGTGTATCACACAGACTGTTAAATTGTTGAAATATTCATAAACCCCCGTGATGTTCACTCGAGCCAAACTAGAGTATACGAAACAAAATACCTGATTTACCTACACTGATTAGTTCTTCTGTTAATCTGATGACTTGTGAATATGAAGAATAATTTTCAAAAAAACTTTTAAAAAGAAAAAGAAGAACTATTGCAAAGAAAAACTTTTGTACAAAAACGTTTTGATTGCTTTTGGTAGATTGAAAATTGTATTCTTGCCATTTGAATTACATATTAAAACCAGACAAGCACTGCGCTTGTCTTGCTCACAACGAGGTTATGGTGCTCACAACGAGGATTAAAGCAAAATAGAGTATATCTTCGTTTCTACGAAGACTTTCAGATAATAATTTACGCTGATGACTTGTGGGCATCTGTTTTAGGTAAGAATGCACAAAACGTCACCAGAATCGACGTTTTCAATGTTAAATTAGGTCCAAAGAGAAGTTGTCTCCAGTTTTCCAGCTACCCCGAGTGACTGCGTCGCACGGTATTTCCATCAAATTGTCCACCAACAGACAATATCTTTACATGTGCATACTCGGAAAACACATAGCTAGCTAACTGCATTCCGATATTTTTACATAAATGTCTGTAATCTTCAAAAATTATGAAAAAGTCACCTTGTTTATCGTGTCACACGTCAAAGATGGGTGCTCACAACGAGGAACGGAAGTTGCTCACAACATTTTAACCGATGGACATTTTTCACTCGTTGTGAGTTAAACGGGCGTGTGTATATGTCTATTCCCTGAATAAATCGATACGATAGACCGATTAATGTTTACAAACGTTATCGTGTTCGACTTACGCTTATCACAACAAAACGAGCATGAATTGACTAAAATCAGGTAAGTATAACATAAACACACGTTCCTGCTTAAAATATACCAGTCTTTTTTCCACATTTTCATGACATTGTTTACATTTACAACAACTCAGTGAGAGGCTAAATATACATTTAGTGCTATCAAACCAAGTCCGCCACTGTATAACTACATGTATGTATACATACATGAAGGTCAACGGTAGTCTGGTAGGTAAGTCTGGTAGTGGGTGAAATTATGATTCATATAAAAATATGAAAAAGAACCTTTTTTTTTAATAATGTAAATGTACCTGTTTCTTAACCAATTAATACAACGATTAAGTAGTTGATAATTTCATTCGGCATAATTGAACTACTTTAACTCGCGCAGTAACATCGTCAAAACCAGTGCGCAATATTTGTTCACATTTAAGATTACAAACATTATAATCTACAAATAAACAAAATTAAGACAAATAATATCTATAAAAGTAAATTTACCTGAAGCTGAAGCCATGGTGAATCAAAGATTACTGCACTTGTTCTACCGAGATGTGTTTATTTGTACTCCGATGTTAAAGACACGTCAACTTTAAAATGATTCGCGCAGTAATTTTCACAAAAATTCCTACTTTCGGTTTAGGCTTCTGGGAAATGATCTATTTTAAGCTGTTATAAATTGCACATGGTATACATGTAGCGTTTAATGGACTTAAGAGGGTTTAGCAGACGAGTTTGAGCTATAATATTTAAGAATGAGTCGGGCAGCTCTTCCGGGCAGTCGGGGGAAGGAAAAGGACAGGTCTAATACGCGTGACCGAAGTTCTAAAGGGGAACCGAAAGTTGATCCGGTATTTGAAAGCACAGACGGACCGACAATTCAAGTTGGAGAGTTTAGCGCTGATGAAGAAAATCCAGAGTAAGTAAATTTGTAACGTTATTTATTTGCATTGTTATATCATTTTAGATTTAACGTTATTCCACTTCAGAAAAATTTGTGATGTAAGGGGAGTAACTTAAATTACTCATTACCTTAATTTGTTACTGCATTTACCTCCCCTGAAAAATGTTTTTTTTTTATATAGATCTACAGTATTTATTTATGATTGAATTTATATAATATACAGTTTATATACCTATAGTGGTTTGTTAATTAAGTGTAATTTTAACATTTCATATTTGAGTTACGTCAATCATTATATAAATAGCAAAGGTAAGTAAGACGACAGAATGCAAATTATTTATGTACATCATCTCGAGCGTTGAATTTCTTAAATAATTATGTTGCATTCTTCAGAAAAATATTGGACGTGATTTTTTTCCATATAAATCCTACTGAAAGAACCCCTAAATAATATGAAAAGAGGGATGAAACTTAACTGTTTATGTGGCTGACTGTGTTTAGTTATTATCTGTTATCATCCGTTTGTGATTAAAATATTTATTAAAATGACCATTGAAATGTTTGGGTGTGTCTATTTTTCCCAATGGGTTAAAACCATAACGACCCGTGTAAATGTATGAACAAACGTTGGACGAGTTCAGAATTGTGCCAATGTACGGTCATCATAATTAAGCGGGATGACTTCCAAACTCCCCGCAGCGGTTACTTCCCCTGATCAGTACAGTAACAGTAGCAAAGCGTGACGTAACCGCTGTGAGGAGTTTGGGTGACTTCATTCAATTTACACAATGGCATTTCGTTCACTAAAAAGCGACAAAATTAACCTGTCTATACATGTACGATTACGAAGGAAAAACCAATTGGAGTGTTTTCATTGGTCGGCAAATTAATAGTTACTTGGAAGTACATGATTGTGTTTACCTTCTCGGCAGTTACATTTTTTTATCAGTTAATGTATAACGATTACAGTATGTATTTATATGAACTCACTACAGTGAGTACCTCTTAGAAGTCAGGATCACAAACTTTGAAAGTAGGAAATTATCGCATTTCCTTACTTTTTTCATTCATTAACATAAATAAATAGGCGTCAAGAGATGGGTTTAGCTCATTAAAGCGTCTTGTCCGGTATATACGGGAATACGGTATTTAGCAAGGTGTTCCAGCCATTACAATGCATTAGTAACTCATACCCACACCCCTGAACTCTTAACAACCCCAAAATTAGTTATATGAATGAAAATATTCAAAACATAATATAATAAATATTGTATATTGACACGTTACATTTTCTCAGGCCATGTTCTTTTATGTTTACAATAAATGTAAATGAATGTTAAAATTTACATTATATACCAAAAATAGTTTAGGCACGCTGAGTATATAAATTTAGAAAAAAGCAACTATGTTTTAAAAAGATCCCAATACATTATTGAGTACTGTACGGAATTCTATTGGACAAGTTCACATCTGTTTAAACTATATTGGACGAGGCGTCAACTGAGTTTTATTTAGCTTTAGAGCAATAGATTGTATTATTCTCGGCTATGTATAATGACCTCTTTATTTCTTGAACGCCATCTTAATTTTTTTTCATCATTCTAACAGAACATTGCCACTTTTAGAGTCTAAAATGAAAACAAAGCTAGATGGAGTATGAAAGGTATTTGATGTAGATTTTAAAGACTTTGGAAATGGAAATAAGCTGAATTGATAAGTTTGTGCAAACGCTTAAAGTTCTTTGGTTTTCTGTAATATTAAGATTGAAAAAAATATACCATAATTATGATCATGAATGTTATAATCTTTCTTTTTTCTCACTAAAGCAATTAAATTATTATTTATTATTTTATTATTTATCAAGCAATTTTAATTATTAATATAAGGTCCTGTATGTTGTAACCACATTTAAGTGAACTTTTATAATGTTCTAACATCGAAGAATATGTTAAATATGTACTGCAAATATTAAGAGGATATTTTTTCGTTTGCGTGAAATATGGAATATATTTTCACGAAACATGATAAACCGGCTCGTGAAAATATGTGGCATTTTTTATCATGTTGAGTGAAAATATACACCATATTTCACGAAAAACGAAAAAATAACCTTTTTATTTAATTTCATTATCAAAGAAAATGGTAACGAAACCCCTTGCTTGCTACCAACTGCAATTGTACAGCGCGCAGTAATTTATGCGTAAGCACGCGCTGTTTGGCGCTACATTGTGACGTCATGTAAACAACTCTTTAAACGTCTGTACAGCGTTAATTACTGAATTAAAGATATTGGCGTTCGGATTATTTTCCTTAGTTGGACCATTTTCTATTATTCTAGATAGTTTTACAAACAAAATTCAAGAAAAAGTTGTTTTGTATTTATCAGTTTTTTCAAACAAAACGGCGAAAGAAGTTCCGTAAAATAAATATGAGTTTTGACTCCGCCCACTTTCATATTTATATTTCATATTTATTTTTAAAAAATATGAAATATATTTGACTGATATAGCACCATATTTCATGGGTGAAATTAAATAATTGTCCACATTATATGCAATCAATAAAATTTATGCATTCATTTCGTATTAAAGACTTTATAGAAATAAATTTCTAATAACCTCACTTTATTAACATAAAATGTTAAATTCGATACTATCTTTAAAAATAATGCTTTTTGGGACTCATTTTTTAATATTGATAAATCTTCATTTGAGCATGATCTTTATGATATAATACCATAGAAAATTGAGTTACAGGATTTTTAAGCTTATAGTTTCCTACACAATCGAACTAGATTCTATATTTATAAATAAATAATTACACTGATCGTATCAGATATAAGAACAAATCAAGAAAGAAATGTATATTAATGTTGTTTGTTAGTGTTAGATATATGATCCGATAAGACAGCAAACAGAACATCGGACCTTGTAGCATTATAGCGACCTCCCGTGTAACAGACCGAAGCCGAAGGCTGGCTAATCGGTCACTGTATAATGCTCAGGCCTTAGTGCTACGTACACTTTTTAACTGGGACGAAATATTGTTATCTCTTATATAATTGTTTTAATGTTTAATACAGAATCACTTAAAACATTCGTTTTTGAGTGATATTTTATACGATTATCCAAGTGTTACATTTCTATTGTTATTATAAATATTTGAAATACTTTTGAAATATGTGCCGATGGGAACCCGATCCCCTTTAAAGCCTCGCCAACGCGTCATTACTGCCATAAATTGGATACCCATGGATCAGCTCCAGTGAACCCACGACAGATCAGGGAAATGCTTCACTGCATTTTTTGTATTTAAAGTACTTTAAGATACATTAGCATTTATTCGTATGTTTTAGTAAAAGACATGCATTTTTTTAAAACAAAATTATATTTCTAACTAACCCCTGCAAGTACATTGTAAAAACATTAGTTGAATGAACGTCTTTTAGAATGCTTATGTGACTTATCTCAATATTTCAATAAATGAGCCGCGTCACGACAAAACTAACATAGTGCGTTTGCGACCAGCATGGATACAGACCAGTCTGTGCATCCGCGCAGTCTTATCTGGATCCATGCTGTTAGCTATCAGTTTCTCTATATTGTTATAGGGTATGTAAGCGAACAGCATTGATCCTGATCAGACTGCGCGGATGCGGGTCGCAAACCCACTATGTTGGTTTTGTCGTGACGCGGCTCATTAATATCCGAAGTGGCAAACTGTCTTAACACTAAGTTTTACAAACTCAGATACATGTGAAGGTTAGGAAAATTCTGTTCACTAGTTTACCTTCTTTGCGTATGTATTTATAATTGAAAATGAAGGAACTCGGAAACGTTTTAAAGTTAAAACAAGATATGAAGTTATTATGGTCATGTTTTATTAGCCCCCTACCGGTTTAACCGGAGGGGACTTTAGGTTTACCCTCCGGCCTTCTGTCTGTCCGCCAGTCCGTCCGTCCACAAAACTGGATCCCGCGATAACGCAAAAAGTTCTCAAAATATTTTTTTGAAACTTGATATAAGTATAAATGGCAGTATGGAGATTATGCACCCCTTTTTAGCTCACCTGTCACAAAGTGACAGGGTGAGCTTTTGTTATCGCTTTTCGTCCGGCGTCCGTCCGTCGTCCGTCCGTCCGTCCGTCCGTAAACTTTTACTTTAAATGACATCTCCTCATAAACCACTAAGTCAATTTCATCCAAACTTCACAGGAATGTTCCTTTGGTGGTCACCTTTAAAAAAGTTTAATTCCATGCAGAACTCTGGTTGCCATGGCAATCAAAAGAAAAAGCTTTAAATATCTTCTATTAAAAAACCCAAAGGGCTAGAGCTTAGCTATTTGGCATGAAACATCTTCTAGTGAGTGTCTACAAAGTTTGTTCAAATAAAAGCCCTGGGGTCAAAATTGGCCCGCCCCAGGGGTCATTGATTTTCCCTATATGCATATAGTAAAAACTTTAAAAATCTTCTTTTAAAGAACCAAAAGAGCTAGAGCTTAGATATTTAGCATGAAAACTCTTCTTATGAGTGTCTACCAAGTTTGTTCAAATAAAAGCCCTGGGGTCAAAATTGGCCCCGCCCCAGGGGGTCATTGATTTTCTCGATATGCATATAGTAAAAACTTTAAAAATCTTCTTTTAAAGAACCAAAAGAGCTGTAGCTAAGATATTTAGCATGAAACATCTTCTAATGAGTGTCTACCAAGTTTGTTTAAATAAAAGCCCTGGGGTCAAAATTGGCCCCGCCCCAGGGGTCATTGAATTTCCCTATATGCACATAGTAAAAACTTAATAAATCTTCTTTTAAAGAACTCAAAGAGTCATTGATTTTCCTTATATGTGTATTACAATAACTTAAACAATCTTCTTTGAAAAACCTAAATAGCTAGAGTTTAGATATTAAGCATGAAACATCTTCTAGTGAGTGTCTACAAAGTTTGTTCAGATAAAAGCCCTGGGATCAAAATTGGCACCGCCCCGGGGGTGTCATTGTTTATAACTATATGTGTATAGTAAAAACTTAAAAAAAAATCTTCTTTTAAAAAACCCAATGAGTTTCTTTTAAAAAACCCAATGAGCTACAGCTTAGATGTTTAGCATGAAACATCTTCTTATGGGTGTCTACCATGTTTGTTCAAATAAAAGCCCTTGGGTTAAAATTGGCCCTGCCGGGTGGGGGGTGGGGGGCGGCAGATCATTGTTTTTCATTATGTGTGTGTAGTAAAAACTTAACATCATGTAACATCTTCTTATGGGTGTCTCTCAAGTTTGTTCAAATAAAAGCCCTGGGGTTAAAACTGGCCCCGCTCTGGGGGCCTATTTACAGGTGAGCGACCTCAGGGCCATCATGGCCCTCTTGTTTTTTCTTCCAGTGTTAAAAATTCTGGTTGCTATGGCAACAAATAGTCTGAAAATATGGCAAATTTAACACATAAACTAAATCCAGTGATAACTCAAAAAGTACTGAAATTATTCTTATGAAACTTGAAATATGGGTAGATGGCAGTCTGGTGATTATGCAAATCTTTTTCTTGTCTTCCTATGCTGAAAATTCTGGTTGCTATGGCAACAAATAGCCTGAATTTAAAGATTTCTGATTTAAATTTTTCAGGTTTTTCACTATAAGTTCTTTATTTCTTAAGGTGTTTACTTCAAACTTTAAATATAAGTTTCTAGTCATCAACCACATCATATGTGACAAGGTTTACAACTCTCGCACAAAAATTATCAGTATTACCTCCCTTGAACTTAGAATTTTAATGAAAAAAAAATGTTGTCTTTTTTAAATAACATCTTTATTTCCTAATGTATCTACTTCAAACTTCATATATATGTTTCTTATTATCACTCAACAGTTTTAGATGGTTAAATACTCTAGCAAGACTATTTCCAGAATTATCTCCCCCTTGAACTTAGATTTTTTTCGAGAAATTGGTATTTTTCACTCCAACTTCTTCATTCCTTATAGAGGATTTACTTTAAAATCCCACATCGTAATAATATGACAAGGTTGTATAAACATAATTTCCATACTAGGCAGGGAAACTTAACACATTACTGTGATATAGACAAACTTTGAACTCAAAAGATTTAACTTCATTCATGTCATTCATTCACTGGTAAAATTGAATGGCCATAATGGCCCATCAGAATGTTGCTGGGGTTCTAACCGGTAGGGGACTTGTGGATTGCTTGCAATACTATGATAATTGCTTGTTTAGAGAGGAGCTATACCAGAGGATTGTGAGAGAGCGAAATAAAGCCAGATCATCAAAGAATAATGATTCTCAAGTAAAAGGTAAACCGGGTGAACGTGTACGTGAACGTGTACGACGTCCAACTGAAGAAAGAGATGAGAATGAAGACAGAAACAAATCGGTAAAAAAGACAGTTTCTCAACAATCACAGCAAATGAATTTTTACCACCAATTTTTGTAATAAATTTTTTTTTGGTATTTAATTTTTTTTAGGGGTTTTTTACATTTTTACCTCCGCTTTTTTTGATTTTTTAGTAGGGAAAAAAAAAAGTGTTTGCTAATCGGGGGCTTATACACTTTTTTTTAATTACAAAAATTTTATTAACACGGCTAAAGGGAAAACAAATTGAACAACCTGAATACTTTTTGAATACACTGTCCACATCTAAAAATTCGTGGAAAAAGCTGTACAAAACTTAGTTTGGTTTTGTATGAAAATTTCTAAATTTTATGCACTATTGGGGGTTTAAAAAGAAAACAAGGGACCATTGGGAAACAACTTTTACACAATGGGGGCGGAGAATACAAATTTTCGCAAACAAAAAGAATGCGGGAAATCAATTTTAACAATTTTGGGGGAGTATGGGAAAAAAAACTTTTAAAAAAACCGCAACCTTTGGGGGCACAAATTTTACACAATCAAGTGAGCGTCTGCGTACACACTCTAGCGGACATTGCGAACCACAACTTACACACTCAAGTGGGAGTTGTTGAACACAACAATTTAGCAGAATTGTAGAACACAATTTTACACAATCATTCGGGAACCGAGGAACACAACTTAAAATAATCAAGTAGACTTATGGGAAAAAACTTAACATTATCAAGCAGGCTCTGTGGAACAGAAAGTAACACACTCGAACGTTTTTTTTTCAATTACTGAGGATCGTTCAGCACGACATTATTGTTGTGTGTGCGTGTTTATGGTGTGTTTACTTCCTTCTATTTGATCTTTTTCTAGATGGGTGGTTCCAATATTTATAACTTAATATTGTTGAATCTCCCTGTGGATATGTTTCCTGCTTTTTTCGAAGAAGAAGAGGGAGTATATTGTTTTGCTAATGTCGGTCGGTCTGTCTGTCTTGTCGGTGGTTCTGTCTGCCGGGCTGCGCTGCGGTCTGCCTTGGAAACCACAGGGTTTCCGCAATTATTTTAAAAAAACAAAATCTTTCCCATTTTTTACAAGTGATGGTCATAAAGTAATTTTCCCTTTTATTTTTTGGCAAAATAAAGGGAAAGGGCCCCTGGGGCCATAATGTCAATGGGTTTCCCCGATTTTCTTAAAAAGTATTTATCAACAGTTTACTATTTAAGATATTGATTTATTTAACTAGTGGAAGACCCCGATTTGGGGGACTAGTCAAAAGGCAAGGTCACAGGGGCTTAAAAATTTAAATTTTTCCGCCATTATCTGGTTACAAATTCAAAAGTTTCATATTTTTATAATTGGTCAAACTATAGATAGGGGCCAGTTTTAAAGGCTAAGGTTTCGGGGGGCCTTAAAATTTTCCATTACTTGATTACTATTTATCACAAAGTCTTCATTATTGTTTTTTCCCCATAATTGAACACTTCTATGTACCCAAGTTTCTATAAAAAAATTACCAAAAATGTGAGTCAAAGGCCTAGAAAAGGGGGGGGGGGATCTGTGTCGTTCGACATTTCTTGTTTAATTTGTCTATTGGCGTCTTATCTGTGATATCCATGATTCATAACCCCAGTTCCCTATTTAGAATTCCATTTTGTTAACTTTCGCCCCTTGCGTTCTATTTTAGGACACACGCATTCTTTTACTTGGGTACCATACACTGCTTTTCATGAAATGGCTCGAAAGTATATTATTGTAAGGTCCTTGATAATCGTCGTATGAAAACATCTTCGTACGCTTCTAAATTCAAAATTTTACCATTTTCATATTGAAATGTTGATTTCTGCTTAAACCGGTGCTAGAGGACGTGGACGGTAACCATGAACAGGCTCAATCAAACCGAGCTCGCAACATTTTCAATTTCGTCGTTTTGGGCGTTCTTTAGGGATTCTGGTTTTCATTATTTTACACAATTAAGCGGGTATTGTGGGGCACAATCAAGTGAGTTTTTCGAAACAAAACTTTAGTCAATCAAGCGAGATTTTTGAAAAACAACGTTACACAATTAAAAGGGCTTGTCGTTCCTGCAACTTTACATGATCGTTACACATCATCAGAATAGCTCACTTATTAAATTTATTCCATTAAATCGTGTCAATATTGCTTAATTCATCATTTGTCGCAGAATATTTGTAACATATTACACATTAATTGATTTCCTTCTTATAGCTTCAACTTAATTAGTTTAGTATAGTCTTGTGCCATGTATTTATATACATGTAGTTGTTATAGAAACCAACCATTTGTATAGAAGTGAACTTAGGTTAAACTGTTCTTCTTTTTCAGGTGGCAACTTGGGATACTTATTGTGGTTGTAGTTTTGTCACTCATGGCGCATTATTGTTTATTTACACATCTGTATCGCAATCTCCGTGTAAGTGAATCTGAGTCAAATCATTTTAATAGAACTGATTATAATCAAAACTATGATATTGACAGTAATGTTGATAAGGCGATTAAAAGTAAATTAGATCAAACTGACATTGTAAAAAGGGTACAAAAAACATTGTCTGTTGAACTAAGTAAAATTGATATTAGTGCGGATGTAAAACTAAAAATACAAAACGAATTGTCTGATGTTGATATTGACAAGAAAGTGAAAGATTCACTTGAACCTGAAGTTTTAAAGATAGTTGAAGAAACTAAATCAACCAAAGTTGAAATTGAAGAGTTGTTACAATCAACTCAAGATAAACTAGATCAGGAACGTAAGGAACTTTATGAACAATTAAAGAACTATCAGGATAGAATAGACAATGCTGTAAAAGACGCTTCAAATATTAAGACATTAATTCCTAACGCAGAGGAAATGAATCAACTTCAGGAACAAGTTAAGGAATTGTCTAGAAATTATTCTGAAATAATGACTAAAGAAACAGATGATTCAAAGATTTGGAAATTACAGGAGTCTGTAGAAGAGGGAGAAATAAAGCTAGCAGTAATAAATGAAACGTTCTGGGAACTTCAGAAAAATATGACAAAGGCTCTGGATGAATATGCGAAACATAAAGACAGAATTAAGGAAATTAAAGAAGAGCTTGATGTCATACAACCGAATACGTTTAATAAAGGTATGTGTTTTATTAATGATACCTCTTGTTTAATGTCGAAGACAGTGAATAATTTCCCTGATTATGAGTGATAGAATAACACAAGTATTTCAATTGTCAAATGGCGTTGCCATAGATATATTAGGCAGTTGTTTTTTTTCTGCCTTACAGATATGTACATTTCCATTTTTGTTTCCTTGACAAGAAAATATATTTTCATTAATGTTGCAGGAAAATGTCACTTTTCATTAATTATTAATTTATAGGAAAATAGATATTCCCATTACTTTGTTCTTCGCGTGAAAATACAGTTTGCTTTATTTTATACCACTTAGTAAATTTCATATGGCTAGTTTCCAGCTTTGTTAAACGAGGATGACCGCAGGTGCCCCTTTTGCATTTTATCAGGCTCGAGCGTGCTCTTTAGTAAAATAACCAATCTTTCATAATAAGTAAGCTAGATAGAGAAAATATTGTCTCACTGTTTCAGGAAGTTTCACGATGGCATTTATGATTTTAACTGTTATGGTGTGTGTGCTAGCTGTAGCCGTATTTAATATATATCAACGTGGAAGCAGTACGGAACCTGTACATACTAACGGACCAGTATCAGCTAAACAAAACAGGATAGATATGGTTTGTAGTTATTTTTTCCGTCAGATAATTTTGGAAATTTTAGGTTTTATAAACGTATTGTATAAAGAAAATAAAGGGTTTTAAAGGATGTAACTGGATCTAATTTTGTCCGTCATTTTCAAAGAGATTTGTCGCTAAGTAATGGATGTAGTACGAATTTTTGTCAAAAGTGTCAAACGTAAGAAGATAGTTTGCTAGGTAAACAACAAATTGTCTAAGGCGAACTGTCTTTATTTTTCACGTCTGTAAGAAGACACTTGAAGGCAATACGAGTAACTGTATCTGCCTTATACAATAATATAAAACGGATAAATTCATTAAGTCATTTAATAATAGATTGATTTAATTGATAATAATGTACGTTCTTGTTGAAAATATAAAACTATATATAGAAAATATTTATATGGTCTAAAAGCTTTTGGCAGTGCACGGTGTGGCAGATTGTATTTGCACGAATTTTCGTGCACCTTTTTCAATCGGACAGAATTCACTTTCATTTATAAACAATCATGTTAAATTGGCTACCTTTAAAAGAGAGTCAGATTTACTAAAAATCAATTATGTCGATTAACATTGAAACAAACACTAAGCATGTAACGCTTAAATAAACACACTCAGTATAAACATATGAAAAACATAATGAACATAGGTTCCCCAAGAAAAAAAATACAATTTGTTAACAAGAAAAAGGGAATAAAGATGTAGTAATGAAAGGATATTTTGTTTAATTTGATAGGGCAGCAATGATGTACTACGACGGATACCACAAAGTCCAAACCTTCAGCCGGGTGTATGTATCATTAGCTATGACGATGCACGTACAGGATTTCACAGGGAATTACTCGATTCCGCGAATATCCCAAAATGTGATGTAAAATCTCATGTGATTAGAAGACATGAACAGATTCTAGCATTACCGAAGTGTAAGGTCTATCTCATGTGTACAGAATTTTCTGAAAGGTAATGAAATAATTAGATATTATAAAGAGTGAATGTCGAGATCTAGTTATATTTACAGGAAACGGTATCAATTTGATAAAGCAAAAATAGCCAGATTCGTTGAACGTATACTTCCTGTTGATTTTTTTGGTGCAAATGGTAACCAACATTGTCCAGTAGCTAAATGTGTTCAGTATATTAGATTGTTACTGTATTTTTTTTTCTAAAAAGCTAAAGTATATATTATTTGATTATACTTTAGATAATGTCTGCACCAGATCTTATTTGTATAATTGATTTGAAACAGTTCTGTTGTTGTTTTGTGATATTTATGCCCCCGCCATGTAATGGCCGGGGCATATAGTGTTACCCTGTTCCGTCCTTCCGTCCTTCCGTCATTCCGTCCTTCTGTCATTCCGTCCTTCCGTCATTCCGTCATTCCGTCATTCTGTCATTCCGTCATCATCAGTTTCCGTTCATTATCTAAGTAACGGTTGCACACATTCAACTCAAATTTGACATATGGATATGTCATGAGAAAATACAGGTCAAGTTCGAATTTGGTCATGGTTCGATGATTTTTGGCAGAGTTATGCCCCTTTTACTTTAAAATAATATGAAATTTTCAGTTTCCGTTCATTATCTCCCCAACGATACAACACATTCAACTCAAACTTGACATATGGATATGTCATGAGAAAATACAGGTCAAGTTCGAATTTGGTCATGGTTCGATGATTTTTGGCAGAGTTATGCCCTTTTACTTTGAAAATAATATGAAATTTTCAGTTTCCGTTCATTATCTCCCCAAAGGTACAACACATTCAACTCAAATTTGACATATGGATATGTCTTGAGAAAATACAGGTCAAGTTCGAATGTGGTCATGGTTCGATGATTTTTGGCAGAGTTATGCCCCTTTCACTTTGAAAATAATATGAAATTTTCAGTTTCCATTCATTATCTCCCCAACGGTTACAACATATTCAACTGAAACTTGATATATGGATAAATCAAAGGAATGCGCAGGTCAAGTTCAAATTTGGTCGTGGTTCAATGATTTTTGCAGAGTTTATGCCCCTTTCACTTTGAAATAATATGAAATTTTCAGTTTCTATTTATTATCTCCCCAACAGTACAACACATTCAACTCAAATTAAACATATGGATACGTTTTTGGAATGCCCAGGCCAAGTTCGAATATGGTCATGGTTCAATGATTTTTGGCAGAGTAATGCCCCCTTTACTTTGAAAATAATATGAAATTTACAGTTTCTGTTCATTATCTACCCAATAGTGTTACATATTCAACTCAAATTTGACATATGGATATGTCAAAGGAATGGGTCGGTCAAGTTGGAATTTGGTCATGGTTCGATGATTTTTTTGGCAGAGTTATGTCCCTTTCACTTTGAAAATAATATAGATACATCTTAGGAATAAGCAGTTTAAGTTTGAAATTTGGTCGTGGTTCAATGATTTTGGACAAACTTATCTTTCTTCAATGTTTGGAAAAATTTTGAACTTTCAGTTTCAGCACTCATACTTTTGTGGAAAGTTTGAATTTGGTCGTGGTTCAATGATTTTGGACAAACTTATCTTTCTTGAATGTTGGAAAAATTTTTGAACTTTCAGTTTCAGCACTCATACTTTTGTGGAAATGTATGTAGCCATTATTTTGGCTACAAATATGAATATGCTATTTTCAAAAAGGTTAAGACTAAATAATTTCAGTGCTTTGAACATTGTATGAAAATGGTTTGTGTTAACATTGAAAAGTTTTAAGGGCTTTGAACTGCAAATGAAAAAAATAATTTGTGCAAACAAATTTGGAACTAAATATTATAACATCTGAAATTTTGGCTGCATGCGGGGGCATCCGTGGCATGATGACACATTTCTAGTTTAATGAATGTTTTCTTATGTTGTAGACATGTGATTATTGAAGAGCCTGGTTTAGGTTTGGGAGATCTACATAGAACTACGTATTATGCTGTTAAGAGACTGGGAGGTATAGATATCTTCGTTGTTAATTAATTAGTTTTATTGTTGAATTGGAAGTATTTGAGCTCAATGTCATTACAAGTTTGAAACACTCATTAGTAACTACATTCCTCATTTTAAAGAAAGGTTCCTTAATTCCTAGAGAAGTATTTCAAAGTATTCCTAAATTTTCATATTTTACATCATCCCTTTATTTCATAACAATCCTTCTATACATTACTACATATTATCTTTATTCCAGAAATAGTAATTCATAATCTAAAAGGCAGTTGAAATTAAAAGTAAATCTGAACCAAAAATATTGACAAAACGCATGTTATGTCATTTTATTCAATAAAATTTCCATCACACGTTTTGCATAAATATGATTAAATTTTCGTTATTTAATTTATTTCGAATAAAACGGTTTAGGCATAAATATGATCAAATTGCTATTATTCACTTTATTCCAGGTTGTCTCATTATATTGTACACTAAAGATCCGGGATCAAGACAATTGAGAAATCAAGCAAAACAGGCACTTTACAACACAGATATTTACTGTGTGAAAAAGCAACAGGAACTTTCTGATCTTGAACAAAGCAATGGATTCTATAGTACTTATGATCAACTGAGTGAGCATCAAAAAACTGTACTTAGACAGAAAATAGTGGACAATATGACCTAAATAATACAACGAGCACAAGTTTTTATCAATATGGCAAACATTATCATTTTCTGTGATCGTTATACATCTGATAATAATCGCCTTTACAGGGTCATGTTTCTGGTGGCGTGTAAAAATAAATAAGTGTCTACAAAAATTACTCAACTGCGCTAAGAATTATTGTTACAACGGAGATATGAAAAGAATTACAGTAATATAAGGAAAACTATCACATAATATTGCTTTGAATTATTTTTCATAACTATCACTATATATGCAAGCAATATACAGATTCTCTAAATTTGCTTTCATACAATTGTAGTACGAAATCGTATATTTCATTGTTGTAGATTTGTTCTCCATTGAACCAAAATGTACTTTGTGTTTTTAATCATATCGAATTTATAGGACCAATGAGCAAACTATCTGAAGTTAGTGCTTCTATATTTTGTACGGATAGTATCAAAATCTAGTGTATGTTTATATAAGAGCAGTCAGTGATCACATGTGTCACCTGATGTCAGCCAATTAAGCATTTGTATCACGGGATGATTGAAAAGTTTTGAAAAGTTTCTCTTGCGCTAGTAGTTTTTGAGGAGTGGAAAAACTTTCAAAATAAAAGTCATTAAAGAGCCAAAACTCTGACAAAATAATTTAACTGTAAATGCTGATGATGTGCACGACTAGATTTGGTACTGATACTAGTAAAGTTTGTAAAGTTTGGATGAAATTGCAGTGATAGTTTGTAGAAGTACAGACAAGTGACAGACAAACAATGGAAGCTGGTCCCTATATGTCACGCTACGGTGTACATAAAATATTGTACAATATTGATGAATGGAACTTCTTATACATAGTGAGAAATCGTTAGATATAAATTCTGATGGGACCATATTTTCTTCGCAGTATTGATCATTACAATGTTGCTTGTTTAATTTTTATGACTTTGTGATTTGTTTTTATGTTTATCATTATGTTATGTAGTTGAACAATAATTTAGTAGCAATTTTAAAGTTTACAATGTCATATTCATGTATGTGATAGGGGTGATAAAGTGAACTATAAGTTAGGGTAGATTTATGCCTGAATACAGATTGATATATTCATTGACATACTCGGGAAGAATTTACTAGGCTTCAATAAATGTCTGCTACCCAAAGCATAGTATATTTTTTAAAAGAATTGGTGATAACGAAAATGTCGCAGACACCAAATGAGCCTAGAAATAGACAGTAGTGTCCAGACACAGCCCTCTATAAAACATATCAAATCTGAAAAAAAACTAAGGTTAAAAATTCTTATCAATATCGGCAAACCATTATGCATACATCATCATTTTCCGCGACCTGTATACATCTGATAAGCCTCGTGATGAAAGAGGTATGTTTTTGGAGCGACTATAAATATACGTTTATCACATCCTATGAAAGAAGCAATGACCAATGTTAACGTAATGCATCTGTATTAAAATATATTAAACGGAAAATGACGTAAACTTATAGAATTCGATATGAGATATTGGTGAATGTAACAACTTAGGCAAAATGAAATGAATGTTTTATGTAAATAATGTAACAATTATTCGGATGGAGTCATATTTTCTTTCGTAGATTTATTATGTACACTGCTGTTTGTTTGATTGATAAGTGTGTGTGATTTGTTTTGATGTATTTTAATTATTGTTTGAAGCTAAACACACGTGGCAATGTTTACATTTATATATATATATATATATATATGCATATATATATAATATATATATATATATATATATATATATATATATATTATATATAGAGTTTATAGCATGTGTCAAAGTGATGCAGTAACTATATGTTGCTATATGTGTAGAACAGTCAACAATATCTCAATGTTCGATTATATTTTATGCAGTTCTTCCTCTGTACATGCCCGAAAAAATGTCGGCGTATATTGTTACGAGCCTGGTCGTCCATCTCTCTCCGTCCATCCGTCTGCCTGTTTGCAGTTTTCCTATCCGGTCTGTATCTTTTGAACCGATGACGGAAATGAAACTACTTGGCAGAAATGTTAAACATAATGAGACAATATGCAGAGCAGAGCGCAGATTTGACCTTTCTCAGGTCAATGCCAATATAACGCTTAGTCATTTTGTATCAATTCCAAAATTGTGTAACATCTCTGTATCTTTTGAACCAATTGAAATAAATCGTAACCTTTGGCAGAAATATTACTCATAATGAAACAGTGTTCAGAACACATGTTTGGGCTTCCTGTGATCAAAATTTGCCCCGCCCCAGGACTTCTTGATTTATATTAACTTTAAATGGGAAAACATATTTAAGTTTCATTGTGTTACAAGACATCTGAGACTTATTTAGTGAACATTAATGCCCCGAGCTGAGATATTCGGCATGTTATATCATTTTGTAGACGTCATAATAACCAGTAATTAGTCTTTCTTCTTGTGTTTATGCCAATTAAAATTTGGGGGGCCCCATTGCCCCCCGGGTTTTTACCTAATTTTAAGGGTTCCCAATTTACCCAATTTTTTTTATTTTTTTAAGTTAGGACAAAAAAAAAAAACCAATTTTTTATAATTAAAAAAAGTTTTATTCTTTTTGAATCTACCATGCCCAGAGTTTAGATATTTGACACGTAGCATTGCCATGCTGGCCCTTACAAATCTGGTACATTGTATTATCATGCCCCTTGGGTCAATCCAGGCGTCACTTAGTTGATATAATCTTGTATGAGACATTATATAGACATTTCAGTCTATATTTGTACAACTACAACACCAATGCCTAAGATATTAAGCATGCACCATGTGAACGTCTGCAAAATTGATTTTTATAATTGTCCTGTGGTCAAAATTAGCCCGCAATGCGGTCGCAGTCACTTGATTATAGGAAGACATATTTAAGTCTTATTTTGTGAAACTACAAAACCCAGAGCTTAGACATTTGGCGTAGGTTTCTATAGATGTTACATTAATCATGACTCAAAGGTCATAATTGGCCCTGACCTAGGATTCACTTGCTTTAATTAGACCTAAGTATAGGAAAACACACCTTATCTTTTTGTGGATAAATACTATGTATTTTTTTCCTTTATATGTTGCGTATAACATTGCCTAATAAACCTCTTTTAGTTTTTATGCACTTATGGTAAAATATGCCTCCACTAAGGCTGTTTAACATTTTTCAGAAAGTTTCTTGATTGGGTCTCCACCCTAATTGAAAGATTATTTTTGATTAATACTCAAACTTACATTTCGGGGTATATTGCCCAGCCTTTGCGGTGCTCTTGTTAAAAATATCACACTTCTAAAGAACAGTGTATGTATAATATGCCGTTCTCCCAAAATCTGTTATACTTCTTAGATTTGTTTATAAATTATACATTCTTCATGTTTATTCAGTAAACAAATATTGTCAATTTGTATATTATTCTATGTTTACAAGGACACGTTCTTCATGTACATGTAAATACATTGTAAATAAGTTTCATGTAGTTCTAATATGTTTTGTAGAAGTTTGACTAAATTCTTATCACATATGTGGCTTTCTTTTTAGTCTATTATTTTATCCATTAGCGCTTGATTTGATGTGTCTTAAATGTTTTGTTGTTGTTGTTGTTTTGAGTTTATTTTCATGTACTCATTATAGACAGTTGACTACGATTTACAATTATTTTTGTCGGAATTTAATGTAATGTCATTAAAATATCCATAAATAACAATAACTGTAAAAAATAAATGTTCTAGTTGTTTTAATTCAACAGAGTTGTCATCTTATGCATGCAAACTTAAATAGATATGTTTTTGTGTCCCCACTATGAGGGCATTAACATGTTCCCTTGTCCGTCTGTCCGTCCATTCTCATGTTGTGTAGCAAGTAGCTCAAAATATATTTGACTTAGAGTCATGAGAATTTACAGGAATTTTGGTCAGCATGTGTAGATGCGCACCTGGTTGTTGCGTGTGGATTTATTCAGTATTTGTAGAGTTATGGCTCTTGACTTAGATTTTTTTACAATTTTCATCTTGTGTCGCGCGTAGTTCAAAAAATGTTTGACTTATAGTCATGAAACTTTACAGGAATGTTGATGAGCATGTGAAGTTGTGGTGTTTTGCTTGTGGATTTATTCTGCTTTGTCAGAGTTATTGCCCTTGACTAAGTTAAAATTTCCAATTTGTGTCTCACATAGCTCATAAAGTATGTGGCCTAGTCATGAAACTTTATAGGAATGTTTGTTATCATGTGTAATTATGCAACGGGGAATGTTCGTCAGCAAGTGTACTTATGCACCTACACCTAGAGTCAGTAGATTGACAAAACATTGGAGTGTGGAGGCACTCGTGTCATAGGGGCACATTTTATTTTGTTTCAAAGATAGACATGGAATTCTTAAAATTATTATGAGTGCGTCACGTGGTAGGAAAATTAAACGATACAAGCAAAGCTATTAGAATAAAATTAGTTTGTTGTTTTTTGACTTAATAAATGAGTTAACTATTAAAGATACTATTCTGCAGTAAGTTACTTGATTCGTTGATATTTACCGACAGTGCCATTATTATTTCTTCTGTTTTAATCAAGCTGTTCATGGATCTTGATAAGAATGAAATATCTTTGTTTTGGCTCCTTGAATTCAGAAATAAGATAATTATGTCATTTAATATACCATTATAATAATACGTACAATATATCTTCACAAAACACAGTTCATATAGGTAGTTTGTCTAGTTCTATTGTTGCCTTGTAAGTCCCTATCATCTATGTTTATTAACTATATTTGACATACTATTGGC